GCAAGCGATCTGCAATAAACCTAAAAACTAGAGTGGAATCTTTCCAGTAGCGAGGCTAGTTCTGAATTGTTTTTACTCTGAAATCTGAAAATGTGGGATTCTCTTAGGCTGCTCTCAAAACCTTTAGGCATTACATATAACATTACCATTGTAATCCTTTATATGTATATGCTGAAGTAAGCTCCATTAAGTTCAATGGAGACTTACTCTCAGATAACTTTGCCTAGAACTGTGGCCTAAACAGCACATTTGAGCATCAAGCATTGTTTGCACTGCTCATGTTAATTCAGGGTTTCCCCAACCTTGGATCTCCAGCTGTTTTTAGACTACAATCCCCATCCCTGACCACTGGTCCTGCTAGCTAGGGATGATGAGAGTTTTAGTCCAACAACGGCTGGAGAACTAATTTGCCCTCAATCCCAAATTTGGCGAGGGAGCTCCTACCCATGTAAGCACTGCTCTAACCTTCAAAAGAAAGGAATGAACACACATTAGGCGTGGTACTTGCCATTTTGACACCACCACCCCCGCCCACCCCACACATATGTGCAGTCATCCTAAATTATAGTCTAAGATGTCTCTCTTCTAAAGAGAAATGTCTATTGATAGAAATGAAATATATACTTCTGAATTAAGGCTAGGGCATGTTTTCAAGGGCTTAGGTTTGGAGTGTCCTAATTGGTTATTTAAGCATTTCTATACTGCTTTTCACAACAACAAAAAGTTATCCCAAGCACTATAAAAACATTGTTTTTATTTTTTAAAATATTCAAAGTGAAGAAAGCATGCTTAAAGGGACAGGTTTAGTTATGTGTGCAATGGGAAGGACTGGGGGAAAGAGTGTGATTTTACAGCTCGCTCCAGATTCCTTAGCGGTGGATTCCAACATGTCAAAATTATCCCGCACTGAGTTCATGAGGATTTGCTCCTAGGTTGCTGTATAAGATTGCAGCCTAAGCCTACTTAATAGCTGAGACAGCCTTGAATCCACACTGATCATTAGTCATTATATAAAGGAGCCAATTTGCAGTAATTAAACCAGAAGTGTTTAGTGTTTTTATTATTAATATTAGAGAACATTACTTACGGCAATTCTTAAGCAAATGTTCAGGCTGCTAGTTGTAACATTGGGATACAGAATGCATACTTGCACTGAGATGTTTGGGGGAAAGAAAGATAAAAGTTCTTGCATTATTTATTTCAAAACAAAAGCTATTAATTCAGGAATGTCTAAAGCTTTACCATGTCCCATGTAAACTTTTTAAGTTGTCCCATGTTGAGTGGAGTCTGCTTAAATAAACAACTTACCGGGGTCTGTATTGCATCTTAGCTCCCATTAGTTTACTGTGATGAACATATCTGATCATATCTAGCTGTGCCAACAGCTAGCATTTGATACTACCCTTGCATGTTTTAAGTGTGTGCATTTATTTTGCTTCTACAAAATTGAGCAATGCTGCCACCTGTTGACACTGACCCAGAGAAGGAAGAGAAGACGAGTCAGCACCGCAAGTCATGAAGGCCCCAAGACCAAGCTGGAGCCTGATCCTGTCAGTTGGGAGCCCCTTGAATCACATACTCCTGAACAAGGATTCCCCCCCCCCAAAAAAAGCCAGGTTCCTCTGAGGTTCCTGCTCTCTCTACGCTAGGAATCTCACGCTCCCCAGTGCCTGCTTATCACCAAAGGCAACACACCAGGCAGCATCTAACAGGGAGGCAGAGTGCTATGCTCTTTAAGGTTCTTAGGTCTCATGAAATGGGTAGAGTCTGAGAAGGGTAAAAGCCAGGAGGAATACATAAGGGCTCAGTGGATACAATTTGTCTGCTCGGAACTATCCAAGGTCTTGCAGTAACTGCCTGGCCCTGCTGGCTAGCCCATGGGTAGGCAAACTAAGACCTGGGGGCCAGATCCAGACCAATTGCCTTCTAAATCTGGCCCATGGACGTGTTTTTACATGAGTAGAATGTATCCTTTTATTTAAAATGCATCTCTGGGTTATTTGTGGGGCATAGGAATTCGTTCTCCCCCCCCCCCAAAAAAAAATAGTCCGGCCCACCACAAGGTCTGAGGGACAGTAGTCCGGCCCCCTGCTAAAATGTTTGCTGACCCCTGGAGCCTGACTGACTGAGTACAGGCAGCCCCCTGTTTACGCATATTCACTATGTGAGCGACTGTATACCTGGAAGCAGTGCTTTTTTTCTTGGTGTACTCAGGGGTACGCATACCCCTAAACATTTTGTGAATCTAACGGGAGAAGAAACTAAAAATATTTTTAAAAATTAGTTTCTTCTCTAGCACGGTAAATTGTCAATTCCGTTGCTATCCCCGATGGCGACCTCATTTCCTGTCATGGTGTTTCCCGAGTCTCAGATGGAATGAGAGTACCCCTAAACATTTTTTTAGAAAAAAAAGCAATGCCCGGAAGTGACCCGGAAACAACATAAAGACGTCACTAGAATGTTACTAAAAGGATGGAGGTGGAACAGGGTGTGGGCAGGGCGGAGCAGAGTGAAATGGGGTGTTTTAAGACTTTTCCAATGGGTTTCAGTTATACACAATTTCACTGATGTGTGCAGTTCCTCAGAACCAGTGGCGTAGCGTGGGGGGTGCAGGGGGGGCGGGCCGCACCGGGCGCAACATCTGGGGTTAGGGCAAATCCACAGGTTAGGGGGCGCAAATCCACGGGTTAGGGGGCGCAAATTACTTGCCTTGCCCCGGGTGCTGACAACCCACGCTACGCCACTGCTCAGAACATAATCTCCATATAAATGGGGAGCACCTCTCCTTCCACCGAGCCTCATCTGTTCTCATAGGCTCCTGCTTGGTCAGTTTAAGTCGGTCCACAGAATTTTGCATTGAAGAAAACAACCACGCCCAAACTCAAATAGTTTCTTCTCTCCTCATTATATGGAAACAAATACAGGAAAGCCACTAACAGTACATTCTTCATTGTTAAAATGTAAACAAGATTAGGACACAATGAAAACCGGTAGCTCTTAACAAGTCTGTAAAAGTTGCTAATAAACTGTTATAAATTGGAACACAAACTTGACAACTGATTCACCTACATGAAATCGTGTACTTATGACCAGGAAGGCCCACACTAGGAGCCAGATGAAAACACAGGGCCAGCACAGGAAGTTGTATCCCTGTGTTGAGTTCTCCAACAGTCCCTTCTTACATATAGTATCTCTCACCCATAGCACAATGCTGCCACATCATGCATTTTCCACTTACTGACTGCTGCTGATAGGGACAAGAAAATGCACAATACAAGGACCTCATCACATAGTAATATAAGTGTGACTACTACACCTTTTGGGAGATCAGAGGAGCGCTTGAGAGAGGTGCTGAACAGCGGCAGTCCTTTTATCTAGTAATTTTCAGTTCTGCCCTTGACTCAAAGGTGGGTATCTCTCTCTCTCTCTCTCTCTCTCTCTCACACACACACACACACACATGCCTAAATTCACAGACAGCATACAAAGGCATAATCTCACAACTCAGGAAAGGGTGGGGAGAGAGTTTGGCCCTTGCCCTAGCTACCCCATGCAGCCACATTCCACTCTGTGCTATTATTGCAACCAATGTCGAAGGAAACAAAACCACAATTTCCCTACAGTACTACATGCCTTATTATTATTGTAGGGATGCGGGTAGCACTGTGGTCTAAACCACTGAGCCTCTTGGGCTTGCCAATCAGAAGGCCGGCGGTTTGAATCCCCACAACAGCCAGTTCCTGCCAACCTAGCAGTTCAAAAGCATACCAGTGCAAGTAGATAAAAAGGTACCGCTGCGGCGGAAAGGTAAATGGTGTTTCCATGCACCAGTAGTGGTTTAGTCATGCTGGCCACATGACCCGGAAAAACTGTCTGTGGACAAATGCTGGCTCCTTTGGCCTGAAAGCGAGATGAGCGCCACAACCCCATAGTCGCCTTTGACTGTACTTAACCATCCAGGGGTCCTTTCCCTTTCTTTTTTATTATCATTATTAATTGAATTATATACCGCCCTATACCCAAAGGTCTCAGGGTGGTTCACAGAACAAAATCAAAATATAAAACCGCAATATATATATATAAATTTTATTTATACCCCGCCCTCCCCAGCCAAGACCGGGCTCAGGGCGGCTAACATCAGGTATATATAAATCAAAATAAAAACAACCCAATAACTCTCCCCACACACACCTCCTTGTGTTGAACAATTCTCTGGTGTTTTTTGCCCCGGGGTATTCTGCTAACTCGCTGCCCGCCCCGCTGTCGTTGTGAGAGCTTTAAATGCGCAGCTGGCATAAGGCGCTTCCGAGCATGGGCGAACCTGCCCGCTAGGGGGAGGCCGGGAGGGGCCGGGTTTCCTCGCGGCCTCTTTCCGCCCGCGCCTCCGTTTCCGGAGGAGCCCCGTTTGAAGTTGCACCGCCGCTGTGCCGGTCGGAGTGGGATGGCGGAGGCGCCGTCCGGCTGTCTCAGCGCCCTGCCCGGGGCTCTGCTTCAGTAGGAACCAGGTACCGGGGCGGGAGAGAGCGGAAGGCTCGGGCGAGGGGGCCGTGTACTCAGGCAGGCGGGTAGGCGGGAGGGCGCGGCTCCCGGCCTAAGTCCTCGAGGGCGGCCGCCCTGTTTGAGCAGCGCTGGGCTGGGCGCGCTTTAGAGCCGAGAGGCAGGAAAAGGTCCTCCGCCCGGAAGGTCCTCCGCCCGGCAGGTGCTTCGCCTTCTTGAGCGCAGCTCCTTTTCTCCCAGGATAATGCCAGCCTAGAAAGGAGCGCGGAACCGGCCCCTGTTGCTCTATTGCAAAGGGTGTGGGGGGGTATATTACTAGCGCCATAGAACAGCTGCTCTTCCTTCTTTTATTTATCTGGCCTTAAGAACATGCAAACCTACCTGGTTGGGATGGGGGAGCCTCCACTGCAGGGTTCTGGGTGTTTTTTTTTTGCATTTTCATTTATTCCTTTGTATTTGTTGCCGCTTGCTTGTAGTAAGACCTCCTTAGTGGTTTACAAGACACGTTTAAATGATGAATAAAAGCAGTTTAAAGCAACTTGCATTAAAATGAACAGTTGACAAAAGAGAGAGACTAAGGCACACTGGCAATAGCCTTGCCTCCACCAAAATGTGCTTTCGGTATAGTGTTTAAGCAAGTTGATAAAGCCATAATCACAACAAAGTTGGCAAACCGAGCAATCTGCTTGCTCTAAGCAAATCAAAGTACTTGCAATCCCCTGCTTAAAATCCCAGCCCTCTGTGCCTCACTGCAGTTTAGTTGGAACTTAAATGCTGGCACCATGGTGACAGAACAGCAGGGGTGGGGAGAGACAGGTGAGCCGCAAAGGGACAGCTGGGGTGGCTCCTTTGCCACCATTGTGCTTCCCCCCCAATGCTGCTGTTTTGGACTTAGCAAAATAGTAGGCTGAGGAGGAGGAAATCAGTGGCAGAGTGGGATGTTTTTTGGGCGGCTGTCCCAGGCTGTCCCTCTGTGGCCTGTCTAAGCCACAGTTTGGCCAAACTTTTGGCATGTACATATTTGTCAGCTCTGGACTGGACTGATGTGAGGCAGCAGGTGGGTATCCCCAGCCTTCATAGGACAGAGGGAGTGGTATGACTATCACTTACCTTGAAGCTTTGGTCCACAGCCCCTTTTTCTTGCAATACTTTCCCCACGTGAATGATCTAAAGATAAGAAGATGAAAGTGTTGCATTGGTGCTATTTGTATAGTAGTGTCTTAATATAACATCACTTTTGAGCACTGGCTTGCTAATGTACAGTAATGCAATTGTTACAATAGATCAGATAAAAATATCAAAATGAGTGTTGCTGTGATGTTATGAATCCTTTTTTTGCAATACTGTAGTATCAGACAGCTCACACTGATGTTCACAGAATCATCAAATGATGATCATAAAATATAAAAAGACAAGTAGTAAATGCAAGATATTCCAAAATATGGGATACTGTGTAATCCTGTAAAAACTCTTATTTGCTCTTGCTCTTCACTAACAATCACCTAGTCCTAGAAGAACATAGAAGAGACTTGCAAGTATCTGAATTGCACATTACAGGGCTCTACAAACATTTATTCTTCTTGCATTGTTTTATTTTGTGTGGGGGTTTTTTTGGGGGGGAGGAAGGGTTCCCCAAATGTTTTGTGCATTTTTTTAGCATGCTTACTGCAGAGAGCTGTGTATGGAACAAAGCTAAAACTATATAAACTGTTGCTTGCTTACTAGAATCTATTAGAGAACCTTTTGTTTCCGTTTTCTTCCAGTCAAAGGAAGATGCCCAAACTTGAGGGCTTTGAGTTCTGGAGAAACACACTGAAAGGTGCCCGTTTTGTGGTTGCTCCCATGGTGGATCAGAGTGAACTGGCTTGGAGACTGTTAAGTCGCCGCCATGGAGCCCAGCTGTGTTATACCCCTATGCTGCATGCTCAGGTCTTTGTCAGAGATGCCAATTACCGTAAAGAAAACTTGTATTGTGATGTGTGCCCTGAAGATAGACCTTTGATTGTGCAGGTAATAGCTATCACATAATTTCGCTTTATATTTTTATGCTGTCCTTTAATGGTGGCTTTTGGAAGAAATTGATTTAAAATAGATAGTGTTACAACAGCCATTGTAGAATAATAATTGCCATTACCTTAAGGACAAGAAGAGGCATGTCTAGCAAGCCAAACTCCCCTTCTGGGTCATGGAAGGCAAGAGTTGAGACAAAAGGACTGCCCAATCCAAGCCCTGCTGTGCTCATGGCAGAAAGCAGGGGCTGTGTCTTCCCCTCCCCCTCGCCTTGACTTGAAAAGAAAATACCGTAAATTTCGTTCCATAACACACGCTTTTTTGCTCCTAGAAAGTAAGGGAAAATGCCAGTGCGTGTTATGGGGTGAATGCGCTGGACCGGAGCCATGGCTGCCGTCAGTTAAGCAAAGCGGGAGCCGCTTGCAGGGCTTCTGTCTCGCTTTGCAAGGCTCTAGCTTTGCCTGCTTTACAGCCAGGAGGAGGGGCTCTCTGAAAGTAAGCAAAGCGAGAGCCGCTTACACGCTCTACGCTTTAAAGCGACCTACGGAGGAGCCGGGGAGGAGGGAGGGAAGGAGAGGCATGGCAGCAAAGTGGGCAGCAGCTGCTTACACGGGAGGAGGGACAGACAGGAGCCATAGCGAGCCGGAAGGAGGCAGGCAATTCAAAGCCAGCAGGCGCTTTTAAAAGCGTTGCGTAGCCAGCAACAGCTGCTGCAGCCTCAGCTAGCAAAGGTCTGCGCACTCTCTAAATGGAGCAATGAGGCTGCGCGCCGGGGACAGGAGGGCATGGGATGAGGGAGAGGGGGAAATGACACGTCCCCAGCGTCTCAGCTGATCCGCTGGCTGCTTGAGCGCGCTGGGGACAGGAGGGCACGGGATGAGGGAGAGGGGGAAATGCATGTCTCCCAGCGTCTCCCCTGATCCGCTGGCTGCTTGAGCGCGCTGGGGACAGGAGGGCACGGGATGAGGGAGAGGGGGAAATTACGCAAGATAGACAGGATAGGTTTGAGCACATGAGCAGGACTTGGATTGCAGGGGATTCGCCATTAGCTGTGTAAAGCAGCAAAGAGGGAGAGAAGGAGCAAAACGGGAGAGAGGAGCTGCTTACACTGCTGTAAGCGGCTGCTGTCCGGTTGGCTCCTTTAAAGCAACAGTGCTCTTTCCCTCCCTCCTCCCCGCTCAGCTCCCGGAAAAGCTCCTTCTCCACACACCCCACACTGGCTCCTTCTCCCCTTAAACCCCTCGCCTGCATTATTAGCAGCATCCTTCTCCACACACCCCATGCGTGTTCCTTGTCCCTTGAGTGCTTTTCCTTCCCTCCCCACTTAAAACGTGGTTACAAAGTATGGATCCACATGGATCCTCAGGATTTTTGCATTGGGCTACCCCAAACTCACCGTCAGATCACATGTCTGTGGCCACAGCATGAAGCACAAAAATCATACATCCACTGTTTCGTTTAGAATTTTTTTTCTTGTTTTCCTCCTCTAAAAACTACATGCGTGTTATGGTCTGGTGTGTGTAATAGAGCGAAAAATACGGTAATTCCTTCCCTTTGTTCTCAGCGGAGTATCACACCAACTTCAGGGCTGGCATGTGTTCCTTGTTCTAGGGGTGTGTCAGGCTTTGATTCTAGCAGATCTGGTTCTCCCCTGATCCCCCACCCCAGAATGCCTCCTTTTTGCCCTCTCCACCATCAGAGCACCAAGAGCAGAGGAGGGGCTTTAGTTAGGAGGCCTCTGTGGGTACACCTTCGTCTCTGTCTATGGACAAAGAAATTGCAAGTTCCTGTGGTCCCCAAGGATGCCCTCCAAAGGACCACTGGATTCTGCTCTTAGGCTTGGAGTGCTTTCAATGTTAGACATACGTTTCGAGTATGTTTGTGTGGTTATGCAAGCTTATATCATTATAAGAATAGAAACCTTACATGATTGATCAAGAAAAAGACCCATACTATTCCTTTTTGTGGCCATTCCCCACTCCTTGTTTATGTTCACTCATCTGATGTCTAGACATGCATTTAATCCATTTAGATCTTTGTGGGAGGGCTAAAATGAATAGTAACAGGGTATGAAACGGTGTGCTGTGGGATGTGAGAAATTAGTATTGAAACTATAGGGCAGATTACTACATAGGCAAAAAATTGGGTGTTTAAATAGGTTCGGGGAAATGATCTTGGCATTAATGACAATCCTAAGTAGTAAGGAGCTTAACTGAGTAGTACTGAAGGAGCGTCTCCACCCCCATTGTTCCACCCCCACTGAGGTCCAGCTCCAAGGGCCTTCTGGCGGTTTCCTCACTGCAAGAAGTGAGGTTACAGGGACCCAGACAGAGGGCCTTCTCGGTGGTGGCACCCACCCTGTGGAACGCCCGCCCACCAGATGTCAAGGAAATAAACAACTATCTGACTTTTAGAAGACATCTGAAGGCAGCCCTGTTTAGGGAAGTTTTTAATGTTTGAAGTTTTATTCTGTTTAATATTCCGTTGGAAGCTGCCCAGAGTGGCTGGGGAAACCCAGCCAAATGGGTGGGGTATAAAGAAATTGTTATTGTTTTGTTTTATAAATGTATGTGTTAAAGTTGCCTCTCACTTATTCTTTGGCTTGTATGCCTGTTTCACAGTTCTGTGCCAATGACCCAGAAGTGTTTGTCCAGGCTGCCTTGTTGGCTCAAGATTACTGTGATGCTATTGACTTGAATTTGGGGTGTCCTCAAATGATTGCAAAAAGAGGTATGTGCAAACCAAAACCTTAAATAATTTGGATGGCAATGCTGTTCACACTTACATGGGCGGAAGCCCCATTAAACACAGTAGGATTTGCATCTTAGTAAAAGTGCATAGCATGGCATTACTAAATGCTCTTGAGCAATTCTAATCTGGATTAATTTGTGAAACTTTACAGTCCAGTCTTAAAAATGTTTACTCAGACGTTGAACATGAATTACCATCCAGTGAGTGTGTTTAGGGTTGCAGGCTTGATTTGTGCAGCAGACTCTGAATCAGTCCTTAATGGTATATGCATTTTAAACCTCTCATAAAGTTTAAGTGCTGTCTCATGTAACACCCTGCTGGTGCCTTATAATTTAAGCTTCCTATATTTCCCTAATTTAAAAGACTATTTAGGAAACAAAGGAAGCAGATTCTGTAGTCAGGCAATGGAAGGACAGACCAGGCTTCTAGGAACTTTAGTTGGTGTGAGCAGAATATGAATGTAATTAGAAGTCTGTGCTGCAAATTTCAAATCCTTGCAGTTCTGGCATAAAGAGTGAGATAATAGTTTGTTACTATGTTTATTTTCTAAATACATTTTGAAAAAACAACGTTATGTTTCCCTTTCCCTGCCTAAGTAGAAACATGACTGTGGGTCTGCAGTTATAGTTTTCATCTATACTTAACTGTTTTATGTCAAAAACTTTCCTATCAATGTGCCTCTACTAGGCCGTGATTTTGTGGGTGGTTTTTCTTTGTGTGTGTGTTTGTATGTAGGTCACTATGGAGCATTCTTGCAGGAGGAATGGAAGCTTCTTCAGAAGATGAGTAAGTCCATGATGCTCTTGAGAACGGAGTAGGAGAAGAGCAGAATAAATAAAAAATGCAAGGGATTGTCTTTGGAGCTCGTAACAGCAGGACTTGTCATGCACCAAGCAGGGCATTAATTTTGTTCCTTGACACAGGATAGGATGGTTCATTGTATAGTATTTGCGGCCTGACTCATTTTTTTGCAAGTTTCCAGCTGTTCACAAATTTGCAGCTGTGTTGAAGCACACAGACATGGTCTCTGCTTATGATTTGGGGTATAAAATGTGGAATTTGCAACCTCATGTTCAGTGGCTCTGAAAATAATCATGTAGGTGTAAATGGAGCTATCACCTGTTTATCAATGGGATTATCAGCACATTGCTATTGGGAGGTTGTCACACACACAGGAACAGACTCTGAAGCCTAATCCAGTTTCAGGAGTTGGCGACCAGAAAAAGCTCTGAAGCAACCAAAACTGAGCTTGGCAGGCTGGAATGCAACTTAATCTAGTTTGTTCTAATATCCTGTCTAACCTGTAGCATTGTCATTTGACTGTTGTGCTTGAACCTGCAAATCCCAGTCAGTTATGACGCATAATAGATGGTCTTTGGCAAGTTGCTCTTAATTGGCTTTAGCAGATTGTTGTGAAACTAAAAAAAAAAAGAAAAGAGTTTTGTGGAGGAAAGACAGGATGTAAATATAACAACTATACATACACAGTGTGCATTCTTTAATTTTTAAATTTAAAAAGGAGTCAGCAATTTTAGAGGTCAGTTGAGGTGCATTGTTCATTAATGTATCAAAGAAGTGAAAAAAGGACAGTAAAGCTGTTGAGAAGGGGGGGAAATGAAAAGGAACCCCCTGATATTATTTAAAAGCTGCCCTATAACACGTTTGGGCAGCTCACAAAAAAAGAAATCAGCAATTAAACATAGAATTTTTAAAAGCATTAAAACTACAGCAGATTAAAATCAGAGAGAGCAGAGAATAAAAATCGCATAGCTAAACAAAATTAAGACAACAGCTTCATTTAAAAGGCTTGGGAAAATGAAAATATATTTGCCTGGTGCTGAAAGGATATTGGAGGAAGTCCCTGGCAGGCCTATCAAGGGATAGCATTCCATAGCCAGGGAGTCACTACGGGAAAGGCCCTTTTGCCCCTAACCACCTGCTGGTGGGGGCAGCTGATAGAGAATCTCAGATTTCAGGGTCTGGATAGATATATGTAGGAAGAATTGATGCTTTAAGCAGTATGAACACACTTTTGTGGAAAATATGCATAGTAGGGTTCAGTATTTCGTGCCTTTGAGGAAATACCATTTTGGGGTTTTTTTACTCCATATAGTTACTCCTAGTTCTGCCTCCAAGCATTCGTCATTCCACTAGCCTAATTTGGAAGGGGATGGTTAGTATTGTCAAACAATTAGGAGTCGGAATCCTTGCTGCAAATCCTTCTGCAAATCAGAATCTACTGCAAATCGCTCAAGAGATCTACCAGTAGATCCCATCTACCTTCTGCCCATACCTGGCAGATAATATAGTATAAGCAGTACATTGGGTGAAAGGGGGTGCTGCATTAGAAGCTGCCAGAGAAGACAACTTGCATCCCAGACTTTCCCTTGGCCTGCCCCTATATCCCCCAAAGCTTCTGAACAGTGTTGGGATGTGTTGCACAGTATTGCAGTGCAAGAGAAGGAAGTGTCCTAAATGCGGTGGAGCAATCTTGTGCCAGCAGAACTGCACTGTGTGCAAATTTCATCCACCCCATTTTAGGCCCTTCCACCCTACCCTTCAGATACAGTTCTGTGTCACACAGCACAAGCTGTCCCTCTGAATAATCTCTTTGGCTAGTAAAATGGTCTGCAGTGGGGAGGTTGCATGGGCTTGCCGCCGCCTTTCACAACCATTGGATACGGCCCATGATCTTTTGACTTCAACCAATTTCACAACTGTTATCTTTGTCTGTTTTCCAGTTGTGTTGGCTAATGAGAAGCTCTCTGTTCCCATCACGTGCAAAATCCGTGTTTTCCCAGAAATTGGCAAGACTGTGAAATATGCCCAGTTGCTGGAGGAGGCTGGTTGTCAAGTAAGAAGCTGGCTGTTCCTGTTTTGTTGCAAGCTCTAATATTCTTCATTCAAACATATATATACAGTAACTCAGTGATTTTTTTTTTAATAAGTCAAAGTATTTTTTGACAAAGTTAGAAATAAAAATTCAGGGAGGGATCCAATGTCACATTATGTTGGTTGTTCTATCAAGGCAATTATTTCAGATTGCCAGACAGAATGAACCCCTTTCTTCCTGCCCCCACTGCTCTGGATTTTGCCCCCTCCTCAAAGCCAATTTCTGGGGGAGGGGGAGAAGCCCCATTTCACAAGGGGAAGTCCTTGCACGGGCTTCCACTGACAGTACTCATTAGTCGAATCCTGCCCAGCTTTCCTGACTTTGGCTGTTGTTTTTCAACCAGCTGGAGACATACTGTTTTCTCCTGTGAAAAGAGCCAGTAACATATTAGAAAAGAGAAGATTGCTGAACGATCAAAATGGAAGCGAGCAGGAGAGATTCCCAACAGTGCTCTTGCTCTAACTGTATATTTAGAAGAAGCTGTAGTCCCATATCAAAGTTTCATTATTGATTCAAATTAATCCGGGATAAGGCTTACAAGATGAGCTCTATGTATGATTTATAAAGACACGGCCCTGGTGACCATAGATAATTTAGCTGAAATGGGAGGATTCCCCATAAATCAGAATCCCAAGCCAACATGTGATATACCGGAAGCAAGGAATCCTGCCATATTTCATATGCTGCAGCAAAGCAAATGTACCAAAGCTATGTGTTCGTCTTACCTGCATTGAAAAACAAATACAACTCTGTTCCAGCTGCTGACTGTCCACGGTCGCACAAAAGAACAGAAGGGGCCTCTTGCTGGCGTGGCCTCCTGGGAGCACATACAGGCCGTGAGGTAAGGGAACTACAGCTTGCAAGGTGTTGGGGAGGCAGTTTTCCTAACCTAAACCTTTGGCTGTGGGGTGAGATACATACAGCTGAGGGGAGGGGTATTATGTATGTTGCTTTAACAGCATTAAAATGTGTTTTGTTTCCAGATGCTCTTGAGTTTGCTTTCTGTTTTAGCTTTACTTGTGCATTTATTTGATTGTTGCTTTTGCGTTTCTGTCTGCTGTCATAGAAAGGCTGTAAACATCCCTGTGTTTGCAAATGGAAACATTCAGTACCTCAGTGATGTGGAACAGTGCATTCAGAAGACAGGAGTTCAAGGTGTCATGAGCGCAGGTAGGAAGAGAGAGCTGCTCCTCCTGGATAATTGTGTAATAAGTCTGTTTAGATATTTTATAACACAGCCCAGATTCAAAGGATACTGAGTAATCTTGCTCCAACTATGGTTATGTGCTGTTGCTGCTGTTGTTGTTTTTTATGCCGCTTGTGAACATTAATGTAAGCAGTTCGGAATTCATGAAGGTTACTTAGCTAGAGTAAATTTTAGAAGTTTCAGTAGAGAGGCCAATCATTAATTAGAATAGGGCTGACCTTGGTTAACAGTTGGGATACTTACCTGGAAAAATAATAAGGTTAATTTAATAAATGGAGGAAGCAAATTTTTATGTGCAAAACTGGGCACAGCAAATGGATGATAAAAGGGTTGTTTATGCATTGGCCTATGTAAGTAATACTGTTAAGAAAGTTGTCCAAGCTTATAAGATCTATCACTAGAGGTCCAGGTAGTGCATAAGGAGCACAAATACAAGTTCATTTAAAAGGAAGAATTTACTGTTGGGAGCAGTAAGTTCCCATACTTACAGATTAATTCCTGCAAATCTCCCCTTCCCCCCAAAAAAAGAAACTGGAAAAGAGCAGAAAACAACTTGTGGTCATTGGCAGGGGATAATTGTCATTTGGGAAAAGGTTAAGCACCCCTTGCCTGTATAATTGCATCATTGGACAAACTGTGGTTTGGAAATCTCATGTGTTTTATCAGTCAATAACAAAATGCTGAAAACTTTCCTCTGCCCCCCCTTTTTTTAAGAGGGCAATCTCCATAACCCAGCTTTGTTTGAAGGAAGAAACCCTGTAGTCTGGGAGATGGCTGAGGAATATCTGGAAATAGTACAGCAGTATCCTTGCCCACTGTCCTATGTCAGGGCTCATCTCTTCAAGCTCTGGCATCACACGTGAGTGATTCTGCTGTTTATGGCCCTGTTTGTGCTGTTGAGAAGACTGAGAGCTTGCTATTCACTGTTTTTATAGCATATGGCAGAACTAGAAATCTGTGCTCCACTTGTTTGCATCTGTCTTCTGTGCATATTAGTCCTTAGAGAGGGAATAGAATAGAATGTCTCAAGAGTGTTTCTTCCCCTCAGGTTGCAAGTTCACCAGCACCTGCGTGATGAGCTGGCAAAAGTGAAGACCCTGGAGGGACTTGTGGCTGTCAATAGAGAGCTGACGTTGCACTGCCAGGTATCAGAAGAGGTTTTACTTTTGTCAGGGCAAGCCTAATTCTGCTTGGGGAAGAGAGTCTTAGGCTCCCTCACTTGGCCAACGAGATGTGTTGACTCTCTTAATCACCATACTGCCCTCTACTGCCTGTCTTATCTCTTTGAGAGAGGGACAGCACTATTTTCAGAATGAGTTTGCTAAGTTCACAGGTTTATTATTATTATTAGTAGTAGTATTATCATTATCATCATTATTATCATTTTCATTATTATTTTTTTCATCACCATGTTTGTTCTCCCTGTGAATTGAGGACATTAACTTGTGGCTGAATTTGTCATTACTCAATCATTTTTCCACAGGAAGAAATAGCCAGTTTGAAGGAAGACGAGAAGCCAAAAGGAGGATTGCCTTTCTTCCATTGGATTTGTCAGCCATATGTCAGACCTGGGTGAGTAGCTAAGCGTTAACCCAAAACAAAGCTTGTGCAATACATACAGCACACATTCTTCTACCCTAAGGATTATTTATGGTCTTTGAATTATAGCTTAGCAAACCACTGTTGCATTCTCTTACACCCTGCCTTGCAACAAGAAGGAGCAAGGTGAGGGGGGCTCATTGCAAATGCTTGGGCACTTTATTCCCTTTCCTTCTGAATACTTACCCTTTCCCTACAACATGTAGAGGATATGCATGCTTCCTTACTCTGGAAGCTCACTTACTCAAGATTTGAGGACCACACAAACAGCCCTTAGACTTCTAAGTTGTGTTACACAGGTTAAACATGTCTCATTGCCTGGAGACAGACAGTCAGGTCATGCATCCATAGCAGTGACCAGAGGAGGAATGACTGCTGGGAGGAGGACAGAGAGAAGAAACGGCATGGTTCATCTGCAGCAGCACAGCCGTACGCCTTCATCTTCCCCTGCTGCAACAAAAACATGTCTCTCCCGTATCAGTCTCTCCAGCCACAGCAGGCGCTGTAACCTTCCAACAGTTTGAACTCGCCCTCAAAGACACACTCCTCCATTGTCTCCCAAGACAGACGGATACCAACATCAATCACACATAGCCACGTTGCTTTATTATGCCTGGGTGCTAGGCAGTAATGTGCTGCAGCTATAAGATAAACAGACACTGTCATCTTTTTATTTACTAGAGCAGCACTGAAAACCCTTTATTTTAGCATCTTGAAGGCCATAGACTCCTCAACCCAAATCTAAAGTCTTCGTTTACCATCTCTCTTGAAGAGAAAAAAAATTCCTTCCAGTAGTACCTTAAAGACCAACTAAGTTAGTTCTTGGTATGAGCTTTCGTGTGCATGCACACTTCTTCAGATACTGAATGCACACGAAAGCTCATACCAAGAAGTAACTTAGTTGGTCTTTAAGGTGCTACTGGAAGGATTTTTTGTTTGTTTGTTTTGACTATGGCAGACCAACACGGCTACCTATCTGTCTCTTGAAGAGGACTGGGCTGTGGAATGGGATGTTCCAATGTGTTGGAACTTTAGGTGCCTGATAAAATTACTGTTCCCAAGAATAGTTTGCATGATCTTATCTGGCTCTCTAAGAGTGTTAGTTCCTACTTTCTTCCCCCAGTCAGCAACTAGCCATTTTATGATTGCACATTCTTTCATAGCATAGCATTATCTTTGCTTTTATTATTTTTAAGGTGCCCATGCCATATACAGACTTCTATAACTGTGGGGTTAGCAAAAAAAACTAATGATTGGCTTTTGTTTTAAATGCTCTGGTGTTGAACCATCACAGGCCCAAGGAGGTGTGCAAGGAAAATGGCACTAGTGGCATGGAAGGAAGCACCCGGGGTAAACGAGCTTTGGAGGATGCGGATGATGGGAACTCGGACGGTCTCTCAAAGAACAAGCAAAAGAAGAAATTGAGAAATCCTAATAAAAGCTTTGATCCATCCTTAAAACGTAAGTCTACGGGGCTGCAATATTTAGCCTATGGGAAATGGATAGTAATCCCTTTGACCAACATAAGATGTGTTTCTGACTAATTGGGCAGCACATTTTATTTTCTTATTACCAGTTTCTTTTAATATAAGGATTTTAAAAAACTGCAAATTGCAAGTGCCATTTTAGAAGGGGCATTCCCTTCTTATTCAGGAGGGAATGCCTCCAGGCTTATTCCTTCTGAACACATGTGCATCCTCTGAAAACAGAGTGTGTTCTTTTAGGATTGGGAGGAACCCCAGAACAGATTTAGGAGGCAGCTGGAGGAGAGGAGGGCAAAATCCAGTTGCTCAGCATAAGTCGTTCTGCTTGTGCAAAGCACTACTTAATGCTGTGTTGAATACAACCCTTCGTTGTTGTTGTTGTTGTTGAGCTTCTTCTCCTGTAGATTTTTTAAAAATGATGTAAACATTGTCAATACCCAAGATGGAGAAAAATGTTCTTCCTCTGCACATCAGCAGCAGTTCGAAATGACTAAAACTTTTTTAAAAAGTCTTTTTTCCTCCTTTCAGCTAAATATGCAAAGTGTGATCAGTGTGGAAACCCAAAGGTAGGCCTGTCTTCATTTGGTTTTCTCCTTCTAATTCTCCCTGTAATGTAATGCATACATTAATCATTAAATCCCTGGGTAAAATTACATGTACTATAACCCTTCCTTGAGCAAAGGGCTCTGTCATATTTAAAATGGCAAAAAAACAGCCCAGTGAGAAGTTTAGTTTTAACTGATTTACCCTATCTCTCCTGAAAGAGCATTCTTAGTAGTTGTTTTGTCAGTGGGTTCATACCTGTATTGTCTCCTGCTGAATGAATATCCCTAATGGCTGATGGAGACAACTTACTTTACTGTGAGTTATGTAGGTGTTCATACAAGATCTGAAAGTACAGGTAGTGGTCCTATAATTTTTGTGTACACTTCTAGGAACATGCGTATGTTCCATGGAGTGATTTTATTACATCATTAATTTCTGTGTTTGGTTATTTAAATAAGGTAGCTGTTTAGAGTGTTAATCTATATGTGTTTAGCATTTCTTTCTTTTTTTGCATCCCAAATTGAATTTTTTTCCTTAAAATAATTCAGTTGAAGTGAAATCATGGAGAGGATCAGGCTTGGTTGGCACCCTGTACTGATCCAAGTAATATTGCAGGTTAATAGCCACTTGTGATTTTTGCTCTGCCTGTTCATTCATGCATCCTCAAGACACACACTTCTCACCATACACTTGCATATAAACATGTACCCCTCACTCCCTACATTGTTACATCTTGCCTTTACACACACGGCTCACATTCCATACATGCCTAGGATCTCCCACAGTGGTGTACTGCTGACCTTAGTCACTCGCGTTCCTCTGTATATTTGCGTATTCCTCTATAAGGTTTTCTCCTCCTCCATGTACTGTACACTTATAATGTTGATCCCTTCCTTGCATACAGATAAACTCACCGGCCTTTTTCATTGTTGGTGTGTCCTCTTTGTCACTTTCCTAGAGGTTTGGAGGTGTGCCAGAAGGGATCAAGGAGAGATAGGAAACTACCTAGAAAACATGCTGCTGATATGTGGTTTTCTCAACCTATATGACCAGGCTGTGCTTTTAAAGGTTTCAGAAGGGCCTGGGCAGTATTTAAGCAGTTTAAATGGATTACTTGCAGCTCATGCACACACCTCATTTAAGTCCCATAAAGCCAGCCTTGTCCTCTTTAATAGGGCACACAACACATGCAACTTGGGGTTGGGTCCTTTTTTCTTATGAAAGGGAAAATCTATTACCAAAAAATATTCTGAGAAACCTTTGGGGTTTGAAATGCCTTTCATACCCCAAATCAACCCTGACAAAGCACTTTATCTACAATGCCACATGTTCACTGGCAACTTGGGATGAATATGTAAACTTTGAGCTAATTAGTTTGTCTCTCTTCCCAGGGTAACAAATGTGTATTTAATCTGTGCCGAGGCTGCTGTAAGAAAAGGGCTTTTAGAGAGACAGCAGATTGTCCAGGTAAGCGAAACCCAGTTCAGTTTTCCAGAATACTAGAGCATTTTTTTAAAAATAACAGAGTATAGATTTCAAATCCTGATTGATTTGGTTTTTAAGTAAAAGCAGCATACTTATTGATGTTGTGCTGGCACTTGTGAATTAACCAAATAAATGTAAGGAATGGGGTTTTCTTGAGCTGCTTTTTAAAATGTTCATAATAGCTAGCTGAGCATTGATTGTTTAAGTCAAGTTATGGTGAACCATTGAAACATTACATTTCCTCTTTTCCATAGACCTTGGCCACTTTTGACATAGGCCCGTCTCTCACTGATTACCCCTGAGGAAAGGCATTCCTTGATGGAAAAATGGGTTTCCTCAAACCTGTGTTAAAGCCTAAGCCAAGGACTGATGCCTATGGGACCATTGTGCCAGCAAAGGTCTTATTTGGTGCCCCTGGGATGAATCATAATCCCCAGATTCCCAGCTTTCATTTTTTTAAAGAAAGTCTCTAGCATTTTTAGAACTTGTGATATGATACAAAATGTGAACACACCATTCTTCTCAATTTTTTTAGTTAGAAATTAGCCTTCTGGACCTTTTCAGTGTTTTGCTTTGCTTCCTTCTCCCCATGTCTGAGAGAATAATTCCTATGGACACCCATGTATGGGAGAGAGGGGAGATGTATGGGAGAGCGGGAGGGAGGAGAGTTTATGTAAGAGAGAGCGAGAGCGAGGAGAGCTATGAACGTGATATCTCTCTCTCTCTCTCTCTCTCTCTCTCTCTCTCTCTCTGTGTGTGTGTGTGTGTGTGTAAGAGAGAGAGAGAGGTATACATGAAGTGTGTGTATATGAATGAGTGAGAGAAAAAGTATGTGTGTGTCTGAGTCCACATGCATGAGGTATATGTGTGTATGTGCACATGAGAGTAGTATACATGGTAATGGGGAAAGCTCCCTGCTATTCTTAGATAGGAACAGCATGGGGGGGTGAGAGAGAGATCAATACAGTGGTACCTCGGGTTAAGTACTTAATTTGTTCCAGAGGTCTGTTCTTAACCTGAAACTGTTCTTAACCTGAAGCACCACTTTAGCTAATGGGGCCTCCTGCTGCTGCCGCCCCGCTGGAGCATGATTTCTGTTCTCATCCTGAAGCAAAGTTCTTAACCCAAGGTACTATTTCTGGGTTAGCGGAGTCTGTAACCTGAAGCGTATGTAACCTGAAGCGTATGTAACCCGAGGTACCACTGTATTGTATAATCTCTACAATCAGAACCAGCAGAAGGTAGCTGACTTCCTATGGTAAGCCTGAGGTCGTCCAGGGAGCAGGGAAGCAGCAGTCACTGTACTCTCCTTAATTTTGTGTTATGACATCCCCCATCCCATCCCACCCACACCATGGCAGCCATTTTATGACTGGTGTTGCATAGCACTTTCCCAACATCAAACATGTGCCCGCTGGCCCAAAAAGGTTGGCGATTCCTTTTCTAAGCTATAACTTTATTCCACTTTTAAAAAAAAGTCATTGGCTGATGGCAATTATGTAATATCACTTGATACAGGTTGGAATATTTTTATTTTTTTTAGTTCTCTGCTTAACCCCTCATTCTCTTAAAGAGTGTTTCTTTCTCTAATGGCTCCACTTTAGCTGCTAATTAACCCAGGCACATTTACCATCTCCCTCCCCCCCCCCTTGCAGGTCATGGTCTGCTTTTTAAAACCAAATATGAGAAGTCCCTTTCATGGAAGAATGGCCAGTCCAGTCTGGAGAATATTGAAGTGACAGCACAGAAAGGAGAGGTGGAGGAGACTATATTGCTCCAAGAAGCTATTGATGGTGTGGCGTGAGGCATGGAGACTCCTCCTGGTTGTGCTTCCCAGCCTCTTGTCTCCTCGGGCCAAAGAAATAATCTGCTTCCAGACCACAACGGTTGACTCCACAGACCTGTTCTTAAACGACAGACAAGTCTTACCTAAAGAAAAATGTCTTTCTCAGGGAAATATCCTGTAATGGAAATAAAAGGATGCAACGAAAGCTTTTCATCCTGTGTTCGAAAGACTTCAAAGACTGAGCCAGAAGGGCTGGCCTTAAAATGCTGCATTGGAGACACCTCTACAGATTTGACCTGCCTGTTTTTAAACTGTGTGTGGTTTTAAAATTGGCAAATAAAACTTTTATATCAGAACGTATTTTTGGTACATCATAAGTAAATTGGTGTGGATGTGGGCCAGCCCTAGGCACAGAACAATAGCAAGTCAGCAGCTGTTAAAGGGCACTGAGAAACTTGGGGAGAGCTGCTTCCAGGTTCCTAAATGGAAGGCACACCTATGTAGTAATTGATTAAAAAAAACCACCTGCCTCTTGGATTGTAGCTTGCTATGCTTGTACTTAGTGCATAAAAAGTGTGTGCCCCTGTGTTGGGATGCAGCAAATGATCCTATGAATGGTAAATGTTTTACACTAGTTTTGAATACGTATAAAACCCTGAATCTGTACACTTATAAGATGCACCAGTTAGCACAAATTTATGTCTAGGTTCAAAGTAGGTCTTTCTAACGGCAGGCACAGAATACAACTCCTGTGGTAGCCTTGGAACAGGAGAATATGAAATGTAAAATTGTTTCATAATTGATATACCCAAAAAAATAAATAAAAGAAATTTAGAGCAGAGAGAAATCAGGCATAGTGGCATCAAGTGGATGTGCTCGAACCACCAACCTTCTGGTTAACAGCCAGATGCACTGATCCATTGTGCCACAGGTGTCTAAAAAGGCAGGCTGCAGTAATAAGTGCTCTTTGGGCTTCAAGGCAATCCTTGTCAGTTCGTGGTTTGGATGTTCTTCCGAGTCTCTTACTAAGAGTGGGAATGTTTTCCCCCCTCCTTCCCTTTTTTCTTTTTCTTAGCAAAAGCTGTCCAGAGTCACATCAGATGCAGGGGGAGCTGTGGTCTAAACCACCGAGCCTCTTGGGCTTGCCGATCAGAAGGTCAGTGGTTTGAATCCCTGTGATGGGGTGAGCTCCTGTTGCTCTGTCCCAGCTGCTGCCAACCTAGCAGTTTGAAAGCACGCCAGTGCAAGTAGATAAATAGATACCACTGCGGTGGGAAGGTAAACGGTGTTTCCGTGCACTCTGGCTTCTGTCAGTCACAGTGTTCAGGTGCACCAGAAGCGGTTTAGTCCTGGAAAGCTGTCTGTGGATAAACACCCGCTCTATTGGCCATAAGCAAGATGAGTTCTGCAGCCCCATAGTCATCTTTGCCTGGACTTAACCGACCAGGGGTCCTTTACCTTTATTGATCAAGTTAATATTGTCAGCTCCAAACTTCTTAAGAAATATTGTGGTATTTGCCAATTGAGCTGAACATGCCCTTAGGCTATTTAGCTAATTCCCAGTAGGGGTTCCCTCTAATGGCTGTGATTCCCTGTATTTGTTATTTGGAGGCATCTCAAGTATATTTTATGATGGTTCACCCCCTTGAGCTGCACTAGGTATCCCTCCTCCCCGATAATGAAACTGCTTCATTCTGATGAAGAGTTTGGAGTTTGGATTTGATATCCTGCTTTATCACTACCCGAAGGAGTCTCAAAGCGGCTAACATTCTCCTTTCCCTTCCTCCCCCACAACAAACACTCTGTGAGGTGACAGATACAGATAGGTAGCCGTGTTGGTCTGCCATAGTCAAAACAAAAAAAATTCCTTCCAGTAGCACCTTAAAGACCAACTAAGTTAGTTCCTAAGTTAGTTCTGTGAGGTGAGTGAGGCTTCAGAGACTTCAGAGAAGTGTGACTGGCCCAAGGTCACCCAGCAGCTGCATGTGGAGGAGCGGGGAAGCGAACCCGGTTCACCAGATTACGAGACTACCGCTCTTAACCACTACACCACACTGAGCAGCATACAGGGTATGATGGTACTTTTGAAGATGAGCAGCAGTCTCCAGGTTCGCTTAGTACCAGGGAGTTTCTCATACTATTCAAGATCTATGGAATACCATCTAATGAATGAGTAACTGTCCTTTTCTTTCCCCATCTTCTTTGGTGTAAAGGGATATTTGCAGTGTTACTTTGTTGTATTAAAATACTAGGACTGATCTCAGTGGAAGCTTGTTGCTTGACTTCAGAAAGCCGGTGTTAGCCTTGGAGTTAAAAGACCTACAGTTGGTGTGGGCTGCTTGTCATCAAAAGAGGTCAGCTCATCTGAAGTAGCTCCTGTGTGGAGGTGAGCCAAAATTCCTGCCTCCTTAATTGTTATGTTGTGTCCTCTTAGAGAAGTACTTAATCCCTCTAACAATAGGGTGATTTTAGTAAGCTGCTGGAAAATTGACACAGTCAGAAAAGTTGCACAGGCAGTAAAACTTACCAGTTTGTAACTAAGCTAACAGTTCATAAATTATTGGGAGAGCAACATAAGAGAGAGGCTTGTGTGAGAGCCATGCAGCTGAGCTGGAGCAAGCAGCTTAGATTTATTCACAAACTGAGCTTCTCAGGTAGACTGAGAAGCTACACCAATAGGCTTGATTACCTATTTCCTCCCAAAGTGAGTTGACGTGGCATAGTTAAGCCTGGCAGGACAGCTTACTCTATGGTACTAACCCCTTCATGCATTAATTTGACTTAAGCATGTTAGTTATATGAGGCTTGTTATCCTACATGTTGGAACTGTTTTTAGTTGTTTTTAGTTTGTGTGTTTGACACTCTGGGCTGTTCTTGAAGGACGGGTAAATAAGTAACCACATACATACATAGGCACAAAAACCAATAGTCGGGCAGCTGTCTGCCTTAATTGAGCCTCAGTATGCCTTTGGCAAGTTCCCCTCATCTCATACAACCAGCAAATTGGGTGCATTTGAAAATGAAAACAGCTTACAATGTTGGGGTGCATATACTTCCCACCACCACCACCCAATGGCTTTGATAAGGTGGGGAAATGTTAAATACTCTCACTATTTTTATTTATTAAGATTCTAAAGCAGCTGATTGCAGCATCCCAATTCTCCCTTATGGATGCAAAATAAACTAAATTTTGAGAAATGCTGGGCTCAGCTTTCTTCAGAGCAACGACTTACATCTTAATAAATAACAAGGTTTTGTTGTTTAGTCGTTTAGTCGTGTCCGACTCTTCGTGACCCCATGGACCAGAGCACGCCAGGCACCTCTGTCCTCCACTACCTCCTGCAGTTTGGTCAAACTCATGCTGGTAACCTCGAAAACACTATCCAACCATCTCGTCCTCTGTCGCCCCCTTCTCCTTGTGCCCTCCATCTTTCCCAGCATCAGTGTCTTCTCCAGGGAGTCTTCTCTTCTCATGAGGTGGCCAAAGTACTGGAGCCTCAGCTTCACGATCTGTCCTTCCAGTGAGCACTCAGGGCTGATTTCCTTAAGAATGGATGCGTTTGATCTTCTTGCAGTCCATGGAACTCTCAAGAGTCTTCTCCAGCACCATAATTCAAAAGCATCAATTCTTCGGCAATCAGCCTTCTTTATGGTCCAGCTCTCACTTCCATACATCACTACTGGGAAAACCATGGCTTTAACTATACGGACCTTTGTTGGCAAGGTGACGTCTCTACTTCTCAAGATGTTGTCTAGGCCTGTCATTGCCCTTCTCCCAAGAAGCAGGCGTCTTTTAATTTCGTGGCTGCTGTCACCATCTGCAGTGATCATGGAGCCCAAGATAAGGGTGGGGGACCATTTATGAATTAGTGTTTATTGTGCCAGAGAAAATATAAGCCACCTGTCACCTATATTCCACATGCCTGCACCTATGTTAATTTTGATGTTTGCTTTCAGCCTTAAGGGACTATAGCTATTGCTCAGTTTGTCATTACCGTGGTGACTGCAACATTTGCTCATTGTCCTTTATAGGGTGAATAGTCATACGACTCGGGTGTTACAGGGCAGGCATTGCATGTGGGCAGGGGAGTATGTTTATCAGTTTCTGGGTGCATCAGGTACTCTTTAAAGAAGCACCCCTTCTTTCCAAACACAGTTGCATCATGACCTACAGTATGTGTTTAGGGTTACATACTGCAGCATAATTTCCCCTGGTGCAGAACCAGGAGCCGCAAAACACAACCCTGGGAACATTGTTTCTGCTTTGTGGACTAAACATAAAGCCTCAGCTCCATTTTTAATTTTTGCCCACAGTGGAAGTGAAGAGAGAAATCATGAAGCCACATACAGAGTTAGGTGAACAAACAGGCCGCAGTGTTCTTGACCACAATTCTGGTTGCATTGGCACACAAGTACAGTGATTAACTCTCCAGCTAAGGGGTCTTTCCCAAGTGCAGGGAGGCAACTACTGAAGAAATAATGCCAGCAGAGGCTGGAAGCAGTTGGGTTCCCATACCTTTGACCATCTCACCAAAGGTGAGGCAGAAGCTTATTTCAGTTGCAAAACAGGTTTAGGATTGTATGTTAAGCAGACACTCCTAAGAGTTACTGCAGGGTGATCCAACCTACTCACTCCAAAAACCAAGTCTCTACCCACAGCAAAGCATTGTGGGATGAACCATACCAAAGGAAGGTCAAAGTGCCTCAGCAAACCTAGCCTCAGAGCCAAGCCTCATTCAAAGTTCATAGTGTGTTGAAGCCATCTTGCGCACATAGATCATGAACATGTAGCCACATCACCCGCACGCCTGGGTGCCCCAATTTCACAAACTCCAAAGCCACAAATATGCAAGGTTTCTCCCAGCCCATGCCTCTCCCATCAAATAACATGATGTGTACTAATTCTCCATCGCTGGGCTGCAAGTAGGGCTGGTTCCAGGGAGATTGCAGCTCCAATTTTGCAACAGTGTAATTGGATTATTGATCTGTTTTCAGGCGCAGCTCAGAAATTTATTACTTGCAAAGCCCTACATGAATTGGGACAAAGTTTTCCAAGAGACCAGATTTTCTATAAGGTTTTCTCAGGACACCTTTTTGTCCTACCAAAATTTTGAAGCATGTCTCAAGAGATGGCCTTCCTTCTATGTGGTTGCTCCAGGGCTCAGTCTCCAATTGCCTAGGGAAGCCTGTCCAGCCCCATTTCCGATGTCCTTTTGCTGGTAGTCAGTGTCTTTATTCAGGTGGGCCTTTGGCCTCATAAATTTATGTATTATGGCCATTGTAAAACTGGCTGCTATAAGTTCACACTGGGTATTGATTTGATTGCTGTGTTTTACCAGCCTAATTTTTATGTTAGTTTG